AAATCATTACCATTAATTTTTTAGTTAATTTATAATTATACGTTGAGTTGTTTAAAATTTTACATTTTTATAAATTTAATTAATGGTGTTCAACGGTGCTCATTGTTAGTGGTGCTTAGCGGTGCTCGTTGAGCATGACAAACTCATCCCTTATGTAATCAATTGTTATATTTTAGTCATTGAATCATTAACTCTAGTTAATTTGATGATATAATTTGTTAGTTAAAAGGGGTTCATTTTAAATTTTATCCATGAACTTTTGGTTGAATACTAGTTAGACCTTAAACTTTAAATGAATTATCATTTTGATTTTTAATGTTTAGATAAAATTTCAACTAACCACTGAATTCGATTATGTGGCTACCAAAACTCAATATCGTCTTCGTTGATAACCTTCTTTTAACATCGACTATCGTCGCCGTCCACTATTAGATCCTAAAATTTATAATTCACTCATTGTTAACATTTTGAATATGAATCTAGTGTATGTTTCATCAGAAAGTATTTGAAACTCAATAAATGTAGTATAGAATTATTTGTTATCATAAGGTGATAGTTGAGGTAATAAACATGTAATTTACCCTAAAAATTACATCAATAGTTTTGTTGATTGTTAAATGGTGAGTGACTAAAATGAAACAAAAACAATATAATTTTGAAAAAAAATAGTTAGATAATCAAAATGGAACAAAAATGATAGTTGAGGTAATAAACATGCAATTTACCCTAAAAATTATAAACTTTATCTATTTTTTTATTATTATTATTACAAAACAGATCTTAAAAGGTTTTCGTAGTGTTGGACAAAAAGTTTCATATACCGTTTTGATTCAGTTGGTCTAATTTTATATTAACTCTCTCTATCATATTATTATAGTTTAAAATTGAATTATTTTTTTAATTTAACATAATTTAGTTTATAAAAACTTAATAAAATTTAATTTTTAAATTTTTATATTATAATTAATTGATAAAAATTGATCACATTTATAATTTATCATCTTGACACATAATATTAATTATAAAGAATTTTAATAAATTATGTTTAATAATAATAAATTTGTATATAATTGAGCACTTAAAAAGTTGAGAGACACGTTCTAAATGATTCTTTATGATGACAAAGTTGAATTTAATGATATATAATACTAATTTTTTTAAAAAATATTCAGGATTCAAATTCAAATTCACCAATTATTAATTGTTTAATGAAATAGAACGTTAGTCGTTTAAATAACATTCCATATTCAAATTATAATAACTTTTTGATGTGATCTCAATCAGCCCTAACTTTCTTCTTGATCTAATTACATCATTGAAGTTCACCAAGGCTGATTCAAAGGGAGTTCTACCTTACTTCATCCTATACCTGCTCAATTATGCACTATATTTTATCATATGTTTGTATTTACCTCTTAGGATATGCTTGTCATATGATATCATTCATTGCATGAATTTGCATTAGTTTTATTAGTTGCATGAGATTCATTACATTTAATAAGTGTGTTGTTCATTAAGCATGCATTGCATTCAAAGCATCTAGTTCATTTAGGGAAGTAGTTCATTTATGCATATTTAGATCATTTAGTAAGCTACTTCATTCATGGATCTAGTTCATTGAATAAAGTTAGTTCATTAATTAAAGTAGTCATTCATCAAACTAGTTCATTTAATAAACTAACTCTTAATTGTTTCATGCATATTTTCAATTAAAGATTGAATAAAGTTCACCTTTGTGTCTAGGTGCATGAGAGAAGTTGAATGGTTTCAACAGATGCAAGAATATCAGTTAGAATGTCTTCTAATTATGGATGTGATACAGATGTTTTTGGGCCCACAAATCAATTGGACATTATTGATCTATCTCTTAGTTTTTCAACGCCTTTTTAATCGCCTCAATCCGATATCGGGAGCTTGAGATATGATTGATTTACTGAAGACAGTGCAGGTTGGAATTTTCATTACGGGAATTTTATACAAGGATGATTTGGATGAGTTTGAGCTAAGGAAGAGTCCTTACATCTTCTACAAAGAGACAAGCAATTGATGGCTATCTTAATGCTTCTATTCAAAGCAATTCAAGGATCAATTCTTTTCATCTTTTCAAGGCTGTTCATATTCTTGGAGAGATAATGCATTCAATCCTTCATAATTCACCTATTTAAGTCTTACTTATCATTCTTTGAAGGCTATTCACATGCTACCAAGGAACAAGCAATGAAGCCTGATTTTATTTCATTTAATCATCAAATTAAGTGATAAAATCAGCAAGAAATTTGAAGAGACAAGCTGATTTGGACATGTAGGATGTCCACATTCATCCTATGACTTCATTTAACCTCTTTTCTTCCATTTGCAAGCAAAGCAAGGTAGCCCAAGAGTCACCCCTCCTTCTTGGACGAAATTAAGGCCATACTCAGCTTCAAATTATCTAGATTCATCCCCAAAATGATCTAGAATATTCATCCAACTTTGAACATAAGAAGACAAAGCATTCAAGTGCATTTTATTGCTAAATTAATGAGATTGTTATCATATTTTGAGTCTTTTCATATGCTTCTTAGAAATACTATAAATAGACACCTTTGGGATCATTTGTAGACACACAATTTGATTTATGAAAATACTTTGAAAGATTTCTTTCATTTTAGTTCTTGGATTAGAACTATATCGGTTTCTTGTCGGTCTTAAAGCCTTCATTCATTTCATCTTGTTATAGCGTTGGTTCCTAGCTCTACTATAGCAAGTGGGTCACGTTCCACCCTCTATCACTTCAATTCCATCTTTACTATATTGTTTGTTCGTATCTCATATATAGTTAGAGGGTCACAATTCATCCTTTGAATTACTATCATTCTCCACGCAAACCACAAACATCCTTCACCATTTTCGTTACATCCATTTAACCACTACCACCACCACACTTCTTTCATTTACAATACACTTCAACTTCATTCTATCATTCTCTTTTTCGTACACATATTTATATATACATATTTCCCTTCTTATAACATTGTACATTTTCAGTCTTCAATCAAAGGACTACGAAGTTCTTACTAGAATCACGATCGGGCAACATCGTATATGACTCGGAACACATAACCGAGATCATATCATTTGGCATCAGAGCTAGCCGATTCAGTAAGATTATAGTTTTCTCTCTCCTGGGTTAGTAAAAATAGAAAAAAAGAAAAATTTAAAGAGGGGGAGCAATTCTTTTCATCTTTGAAAAACAATAATTAAGAAGGTTTCATATTCGTTTAATCGTTTCTTTTATTATCTTTACGATATCATTGCCTATTCCCATCTTCGTTCTTTCTTGTAGCCAATTATTTCTTTTCTCACATAATTTTTTCCAACCAAGCCCTAATTGTTTCAGCCGAAGTCTACGACACGCCTTGTAAACCTCGAGGGAGTTCCACAAGAACTTTAAAGGAAAGCAAGAACGGTAAAAGGCAAGAATGTACATTAAGGGTAAAAGCCATCCCGAGTGACACACGAGTGGGAGTATTTTTCTTTGGAGTGTATTGGTTAGATTTTTTTTGTTGGTGAGGTTTATTTTCATCTTTTTTAATCTTTTCTTTTCATTATGTCCCGAAAGTATACATGACCAAATGATTATACAAGAGACAACGTACGAGATTTTTCATCAAATTCTCAATTTCAAGATTTCAATCAAGAAATGAGGAGTTTGCTCAAAAAGTATCTCAACCCAATCTCAAAGAAATTGGATCGTATAATCGAAGAAGGTTCTTGTTCACAAACATCTCCACCGAAGATCAAAAGACAAGTAAAGTGGAGAGATAACACTTGACCCGTTTCTAATTCTACATCCAATTGGAGCGAAAGACCTTACAAAGAGGATCCCAATTTTCAAAAAATAAGCAATGTCAGAAGTTCAACGTAGAGTGAGCTAAAGAAATTTTGCATATTTCAATCCAGAAAGTCTAGCTTGTTTTCAAGTGTGTTTTGATAATTTTGTCAAAGAAACACAACTGTAAGAACAACTACGAAATGAAAGTGTTCGCAAAAAAAAGGAGAAATGAGAGTTGAAAAAGACATTGAGAGCATAGAAAAAAAAATTTGTGAAAAAGAGGGAAAAAGGAGATTTTCGAAGAAAAAGAGTGACATTGAAAAAGAAATTCAAAGAGAATATGAGAGTGAAAATGATGGGTTTGAAAAATAAATTGTTTGTGCAAAAGAGAGAGAGAGAGAGTCAAATTTATTTCGCACTAACAACCTTAACTATTCTTCTTCTATTTTTTAATTTTCATTGTTGTAGGATGATGAGAAGATCACTTCAAGAGACATATCAAACACATTGCCAATTCTAATGATGATCGAACATCGTCCATGCTTTAATCATGTTTCAAAGGAGGATCCAATAAAGTTTTCTATCACGAAAGAACCAGTGTCCAATAATATCATCAAGCATCCTCCATGGTTTGATTTTTCCATTTCTTTTTTTATTGAATTATTTACTTCTAACTTTCATTTACTTTTCAGAGGGATGATTCAAAAACAAGGAATTGATGTATTGAGTTGCAAGGATAAGTTTCTTTGCAATCTTGAGATGAAATTGCCACTCTCCATTTTGCAAATAAATGATGTGAAGAAAAAGCTATCCACCTACTCAAGAGCCATCATATGGAAGGAGACAAAGATTAAAGGCGATGGTGTAACCTACCTACTTGAAGGAGTTTAAAGGTCAAGACTCTCCATCCACCCTCATGATGATTCAAAGGAACAAAAAGAAGGGGTGCAAAGAACATATACCTATTCGGATAAACAACATGGAAATGAAGTGCACAAGAAAGGAAAACTTAATTCCAAAGAATGGTGTTTGTGCAAAACAATAATGAAGAAGTTTCCATCTAAAAGGAAGTCGAGATCGTTTTTTTTGTAGCAAGCATCGATTTGGGGACAAATCACATTAAAGAGGAAGGGAATTGATGTAAGGCTAACCAGACTTCTTCAATAATGGAGAAGTTGGCAACCTTGTTGTTTCCCGATCTAGGAGAGACACCAAAATACTACACTTTGAATTGATAAGTAATCTGCAAAAATTAAAGAAAGGAATGATTAAGATGGAAACATATATAAGAAATGGAAGAAGAAAGAAAATGATAAGAATTGAAATGGATAGAAATGTTATCAAAGATGGGCTGCGAAAGTGTTGTTGAATTGTCCTTCAAATGTTGATGAATTCGGCCACCATTGGTGATGATGCACATGATTCTTGATGAATGTTGATGGATAATTCAATGGTTAAGGAATGGTGATGAATATGGTAATGGGATAGTGATAGAGTTAGCGTGAAAGTGATGGATAACGGTGAAGGAAATAGTATCTTATAAAACTAAGAAGGAACCAATGTTATAAAGAATAAAGACCCAATTCTTATAAGTTTTATAAGGGATGGTAGCAAGGACTTTCACCCACTAGTTATATGAACTAGGAACCAGAAGTATCAAGGAAGGGATTGACGCCACAAACTTTAGAAAAGCTTGCTTAATCGATATAGTTCTAAAAAGAACTTAAAGAGAGAATAATCTCACAAGAGTTTTAATTTAACAAAGGGTTTTGTTTACAATGGAAATACAATAGCCTATTTATAGTTTTCAAAGGGTTTAGGCCAAATACACACATGATGGTTCGGCTAAGGTTGAAACCCCTTTGAAAACACATGATTTTTAATGAAAATGTATAATTTTAATTAAGATAAATGGTCTTGGCCAAATGGTTATGTGTTGGTTCGGCCCTAAGGATGTTTTGAATGCATTTGGAAGTTATTTGGGCGCCAAAATGAAGAGGAAAGAGTCTTTAACCGAATAGGAACCATCCCTTGGTGTTTTGGCGCCAATTTGATGTCACATGGAGTGCACATGCTTGAATGATGCACATGGCAGCCTACTTGAATGCACATGGGTCTTCTTGCAAGGATTTGGTGAGGTTGCAACCATAAGATGATGTCTTGAAGTCTATGGAATGAAGATATACAACAACTAGGCGTGACTTAGCTTCCAATATGCATCTAGGTGTCATGGTCTTCAATGGGAAGCAACTTGTCATGAAAGGTTACATGTGTAGAAGGTAACCTTTCATCATTTGAGCTACTTCCCATGTGTATGAGCTGAAGATGAGCTGGTCATAGGTGAATTACATGAAGATGAGTCTTTGGCCAGCTCCTTGTAAAAAGGCACCTCTTGGAATGGAAACTCTTCGCGAAAAGGTACGAATCCATAAAAAACCTTGACCTATGATACTATGTGTGGTGGTGATGATGGTGCAACTCTCCAGCTGAAATGAAACCTCTAGCTAGCTCAAAAGTCTAGCTCAAGTCAGCTATGAGCTCGGGGGTTAGCTAGCAATTTTGTCCCAAAATGTTCTTGAGCTGTCCCAGAGTTGTCCTATTCAAGTTTCCTTAGCTCCTGGACTCCGATTCTAGCTTTAAGTCAACTCCCTTTATGTGGCCGACCATGCACCTACAAAAACAAAGCATAATATAAGCTAAGTATTTGAAGTAAATAAATTATAATATAAAGATATGACCAATAGGTTAAAATAATAACTCATGCATCATATGATAATGAATGAATATTATTACAACTATAGATTATATGCTTGAATATCAATCAATGATGCAAACCATATAATGAATGCACATAGTATGATAATTCAAGTATAGTCTAATCTTCATATGTATGCTCATAATAGTATATAATGCATAAATAAGTAAATATAAGATAAAGTAAGGAAGAACTCCCTTAGAACCAGTTTTGAATAACCTCTATGGTGTGATCAAGTCATGGAGAAAATTGGAGCTAGACAGGATCACATCAGGAATGATGTGATCCCAATCAGCCCTAACTTTCTTCTTGATCTGATTAAATCATTAAAGTTCACCAAGGCTGATTCAAAGGGAGTTCTACCTTACTTCATCCTATACCTTCTCATTTATGCACTATATTTTATCATATGTTTGTATTTACCTCTTAGGATATGTTGTCATATGATATCATTCATTGCATGAATTTTCTTGAGTTTTATTAGTTGCATGACATTCATTGCATTTAATAAGTGTGTTGTTCATTAAGCATGCATTGCATTCAAAGCATCTAGTTCATTTTATGCATATTTAGATCATTTAGTAATCTACTTCATTCATGCATCTAGTTCATTGAATAAAGTTAGTTCATTAATTAAAGTAGTTCATTCATCAAAGCAGTTCATTTAATTAACTAACTCTTAATTGTTTCAAGCATATTTTCAATTAAAGATTGAATAAAGTTCACCTTGGAGTCTAGGTGCATGAGAGAAGTTGACGGTTTCAACAGATGCAAGAATATCAGTCAGAATCTCTTCTAATTCTGGATGTGATACAGATGTTTTTGGTCCCACAAATCAATTGGACATTATTCATCTATCTCTTAGCTTTCCAACGCCTTTTTAATCACCTCAATCCGATATCGGGAGCTTGAGATATGATCGATTTACTGAAGACAGTGCATACTGGAATTTTCATTACGGGAATTTTATACAAGGATGATTTGGATGAGTTTGAGCTAAGGAAGAGTCCTTTCATCTTCTACAAAGAGACAAGCAATTGAAGGCTATCTTAATGCTTCTATTCAAAGCAATTCAAGGATCAATTCTTTTCATCTTTTCAAGGCTGTTCATATTCTTGGAGAGACAATGCATTCAATCCTTCATAATTCACCTATTCAAGTCTTACTTATCATTCTTTGAAGGCTATTCACATGCTACCAAGGAACAAGCAATGAAGGCTGATTTTATTTCATTTAATCATTAAATTAAGTGATAAAATCAGTAAGGAATTTGAAGAGACAAGCTGATTTGGACATGTAGGATGTCCACATTCATCTATGATTTCATTTAACCTCTTTTCTTCCATTTGCAAGCAAAGTAAGGTAGCCCAAGAGTCACCCCTCCTTGGACGAAATTAAGGCCATACTCAGCTTCAAATTATCTAGATTCATCCCCAAAATGATCTAGAATATTCATCCAACTTTGAACATAAGAAGACAAAGCATTCAAGTGCATTTTATTGCTAAATTGATGAGAATGTTATTATCTTTTGAGTCTTTTCATATGCTTCTTAGAAATACTATAAATAGGCACCTTTGGGATCATTTGTAGACACACAATTTGATTTATGAAAATACTTTGAAAGATTTCTTTCATTTTAGTTCTTGGATTAGAACTCTATCGGTTTCTTGTCGGTCTTGAAGCCTTCGTCCTTTCATCTTGTTATAGCATTGGTTCCTAGCTCTACTATAGCTAGTGGGTCACGTTCCACCCTCTATCACTTCGATTTCATCTTTATTAAATTGTTGGTTCCTAACTCATATATAGTTAGAGGGTCACAATCCATCCTTTGAATTACTATCATTCTCCAATCACAAACATCCTTCACCATTTTTGTTACATACATTCAACCACTATCACCACCACACTTCTTTCATTTACAATACACTTCAACTTCATTTACAATACACTTCAACTTCATTCTATCATTTTTATTACTTTCGTACACATATACATGTTTCTCTTCTTATAACATTGTTTGTACATTTTCAGACTTCAATCAAAGAACTACGAAGTTCTTACTAGAATCACGATCGGGCAACATCGTATATTACTTGGAACACATAACCGGGATCATATCACTTTTTGTTTAAATATTTAAATTATGATAATGTGAATGAAATATTCTGAGTTGATATGATAATATTTAACATAAATAGGCACGGAATCAGAAAGACTGTTTTAACATCTATCTCCCTAAATTGGAGAGAATATAATACAAATAGTAACAATAAAAATATTCCTATAAGACCTGTTTTTTAGTCACGACGGACTCAAGAAACAGCCTTCATGAATTGCCAGTCATGCAATATGCCAACCGAGTGAGAAAGAAAAAAAAAGCCTAAAATTTACGTATAATTTGATTGAATGATTGCATTCTGTTGTTGTTGTTACCAAATTGTTGGACTCTGAAAGCTAAGTTCATAAAATGATGTGTAGATCAGAAAGGCATCCACTAAAATGCTTTACCGGTTTAGCTTACCCCAGGCTGCATCATGGGAAAAATGACCAATTCTTGGGCACACCATCATCATTTCCAGCTACTTTCTCATTTGCCCACCAATCGGAACTAATGATGGGATTGTTATGGGTATCGCCTCCATCGACATTGTCGAAATTGAAATCTTTAGATGACCCGAGAGTGATGGTTCGGTTCTTGTGGTGCTGTGGTCTGCCTTCTGTATCGGCTGGAGGCCTTTCTGGTGTTTCGATGTATGTTTCACCAACATGACATTCGTAAGTTTCCACCAACTTAGTAGCGTTTTCTTCTTTCTGTCTTGCTGTTTCATTCCGTAGAGATTCTGCTGCAGCTTCATACAGTGTCGATGTCTCGATTTCCACACATTCATCAACATTGTCAAAATTGAAATCTTTAGATGACCCAAGAGTGATGGATCGGTTCTTATGGTGATGTGGTCTGCCTTCGGTATCAGCTGGAAGTCTTTCTGTTCTTTCAATGTATATTTCACCAACACAACATTCATAAGTTTCCACCAACTTAGTAGCGTTTTCTTCTTTCCGTCTTGCTGCTTCATTCCGTAGAGATTCCGCTGCAGCTTCAGATGATGTCGCTGTCTCGATTTCCACACATCCATCAACATTGTCAAAATTGAAATCTTTAGAAGATCCGAGAGTGATGGATCGGTTCTTATGGTGCTGTGGTCTGCCTTCCGTATCAGCTTGAGGTATTTCTGGTCTTTCAATGAACATTTCCACCATCTTTGTAGCATTTTCTTCTTTCTGTCTTTCTGCTTTATTCAGTAGAGATTCTGCTGCAGCTTCAGAGAGTATCGCTGTCTCAGTTTCTACACATCCATCAACATATTCAAAATTGAAATCTTTAGATGACCCGAGAGTGATGGATCGGTTCTTATGGTGCCGTAGTCTGCCTTCTGTATTAGCTAGAGTTTTTTCTCCTCTTTCGATGTATGTTTCACCAATTCGACATTCATAAATTTCCACCAAATTGGTAGCGTTTTCTCCTTTCTGTTTTGCAGTTGCATTCCGTAGAGATTCTGCCACGGCTTTGGATAGGCTTCCTGTCTCAACTTCCACACATCCATGAACGTTATCAAAATTGAATTCTTTAGCAGACCCAAGAGTGATGGATATGTTCTTATGGTGTTGCGGTTTTCCTTCCCTATATGCTGGATGTGAAACAATCTCAGAGATCTGATGATCCAGTAGAAAACCATTGCGCATTGTGGGTGTTGTACCATCTGGGGTTAAAGTACCAGAACCATGATGTGATGCCCATTCACGGTTTGAAAGCGTATCAAGGTTAAAGAGCTTGGGAGGGTCACCCATTTGGAACTCAGGAAAGCGTAGACCAGTGGCGAAATCATCGAGGAAAGGAGATGACGTGCCAGAACCAGATATTCCTGAGCTTGGGGAGATCAGTTGGCCAACAGGGCTCCCGGGATGAAGGTGATAAGACTGAAATTCATAGTGGGATATTGGGAATCTCTGTCCAGCCTCTCCATAGTGGAGGTTGGGGCCAAGGAACCGGGCAAATGGCACCTCAGGCGAGGATGGTGTAGTCAAGTGCACTGACTCAGGAGGAGGAGTAAATGGAGCAGTTGAAGGTTCTGTGGGGAAGGCTGAGAAAACAGGTGGTGAGACTAACTGAGTTTCATGAGCATAAGGGCCGACTGCAAAAATAGAAGACATGCTGGCGGAAATAGAGGTGAGAGACACTAAACCAACTGGAGACTGTGCAGCAGAGGGGGGTTCAGATGGAAGGAAAGATGCAGGAGAAGAGGGTGGTGCAACAAAGGGAAGTGTAATGGTTGGTGCTTGGGTCGGATTTTGATTTTCAGCAGCAGGCACATTACCGCCAGAAGCACTTGTTTCAGGAACAAGAACAGCAGGCCCAATTCGCTTTTTTTGTTTGTAAGATCCAAAACACCAATATATACTCCACCAGCCACCCCGTCTTCTCTTCTGAATGCCACCAAATTTATGATAAAATGGATTAATACAGGAAATGGCACCAAACGCTTATGTAGCTAATAGGAAATCAACTAATTGGCAATAAAATTAATTACTTAAAGCTTTTGTCCTGAAAAGACATAAAGACGTATTACACCAATAACACAATGCATACTCATCCAAGCTTTACCGCAGTCTATCCATATACAAAACATTGTAAAGCACGAATGCTCAAAACTTATCAGATATCATGCTGCAAGTGTGCGTTTAACTGTTTGGTACAAAGAGTATGAGCATGCTGCTCTTTTTTCAATTAGAAAGCTTTTAAACTAGAAGACCCCCAATTTAATCCCACACTTTTACTATCTAAATTAAGGTCAATAAGCAGATGCCCTTCCCAGTTCTCACCTATTGTTTTATTATTTCCAAAGCTTTTCCTCGGTGATTAGAATGGCTACTCTTCACCTAGACCTCCGGTACATGGGAAATCATATATGCATACAGAGCATAACAGTTTCTAGTACTTAGAAGGGCCGAGTATCAAACTTGAATGGATGTTGAAAATGGGATTCATCTGAGTTATTCAGTTAAGACATACATAAGTTTCTAATTTTGCAACATTCCGACGTATATGAAGCCTTACAATTAACTCTTCCTACATTACAGACACAAAAAAGAAAATGATACAAACAAATTCAGAGACAACTCTCTTCAATTAACAACTACATCTAAACTCCAATTTGTAAATATTAACTGTGCTTAACTCTTTTTGTTTGTTTCTTTACCTATGATCAAGGAATCTAGGAACTTTTGCCAAATGAAAGTAAAACTAGAACCAAAAGGTAAAGATCATCTAGTTCACTGTAATTTTTTCCTGGGTAAATAAGGTACCAAATATGCAGAGAGACCACATACTTTGATTAACACTGTTTCATCAACACAGACAATCCATAGAATCCTGAACCTCCAAGTACCAAAGGAAAAAACAACTTATAAAAGCAAAAACTTATATTTCTAAATCTAATCACAGGCAATAGTTAAAACACTCTTGATTCTGTAACAACTCAACCTTCGTGATTATTGATGAAAGCTTCGTAATCACCATTAACCATTACGTAATTAAAATGGCAAAAAACTCAAATCGTGCAAACACAGATCACAAAATAAATATCACAGAAATTTAAAACAATTCCGAAAATCAACCAAATTGAATTGAACTCCATTAAAACAATCACAAAGAAGAAAACTAAACGAAACAGAAAATTTTAAAAATATTTAAACAAATTTTAAAAAATTACCTGAACCGTAACTTGTGGAACACGATTCTCGGCAGAAGCGATAGCGTTTGCGGCTGCATGTATGGTCTCCAAAGTGTTGTTCAGAACTCTAGATTCTCCATTTACTCCTCTCATTTCTACCCCCTTTTTTTCTCAAGAAACAAACAGCTCAAAACTTGGTTCCCTCTGAAAATGTCAAATTTCCTCCAGGGGAAAAAAACAAACAAACAAACGAAAGAGAAAGGAAGTAAACTGTGATTTATAGAAGATGTTTCCACGGTTAAAGAAAATAATCATAAAACTCTTAAATCTAAAATCCCTCCTTTTAAACTTATCATTATGTTGGAAAATTTAGTTATTTATGTATTTTGGAATGGAACATGTGTATAAGCGCTTATGAGGTCAAACACGGCGATGGACTTCGTTTTATCTAAAGAGTAAATTGCACCAATCGTCAATATATTTTATTCTTTATTCTATTTCACTCACTGTGTGTTAAATCCATTCAATTTTTTCATTAAACTTCATACATTTAATTTTTATCACTCTGCCGTTAAATTGTTAATAGCGTTAGCACGATGCGTTTAAAAAGACAAAATTTTCATCAAAATGACGACGCTTTACATCTATATAACAACCAATTTATAACATTGTACGGTAGAGCAATAAAAAAATCAAATATATTAAATTCAATGAAAAACTGAACAAATTTAAAGTACAATGAATGAAATACGAAAAAGTAAAATTCAGTGATGATTGATATAATTTTACTCTTATCTATATTTTATGTAATTAACAAACCCCCCAAATTATGCTCATGTTTTGTATTTTCTCTAACTTACCATTTTACTTACTTGCCCTTTTCATTATGAAAAGAGTAAATCAAAAAGTTCATAACTAAACTTTACTCTCTCTCCTATTTTGCTCATTAAAGTTTAAAAGTTTTTAATTTTCTTACTAAACTTAATACATTAGGTTTTTTTATCACCCAGTCGTTAAGTAGTCAACGACTTTAAAACGAAGTCGTTTTTAAAAAATTCACCAAAAATGTATCATTTTGCATCTATATAAAAGCTCATTAATAACGTCGTTAGTGAGGAAACGATCGAATGAAAAAAATAATCAATGTATTAAATTCAATGAGAAAATTAAAAAGATTTAAAATACAATGAGTGAAATAGGATAGAAACTGAAGTTTAGACACTAAATTTGTAATTTATCCTATTTTTAAAATAAAAAATATATTTTATTTTTTTAAATCATTCTAGTATTGTAGGATGATAAGGTGTACATGTCAAATGTCATCAAGGATGGATAAAGGGCGGACATGTGAAAACAATCATTTTCTTTAAATTTTATATTTTTTTATTTTTTCTATTGATAATCTATTTTTGCCCTCTTTAAAACTTTGTAAGTTTACTTGCCTCTAAAATTTTATAAGTTATCTCTTAACATAAAATCATGTCCATTCTTATATATCATTACACAAAATTGATATATAATAATTTATTCACTTTTGTAAAGTGTCGCAATGAGGAAAAAATATGAGTTTGAGGTCTATTTGTCACTCATCAGTTACAATGGACCTTATGAATCATCATGTCAATCATATAAACTAACACATTAATATTGTAAAACTAGTCAAACGATCATATTAATTTTTTTTTTTGAATTTGAGAGTGACATTGGATGTAAAATAGTTCAAAAATCACATTAATATTTTCAACAAAAAAATTAAAACCTAAAATACCACTAAGCCTTAATTTATTTTATCTTCACCATCTTTATTATCGATATAATGGATGTGTTTTATTTTAAAACTAAATTATAATCAATTATAGCTAAATATGGTTGACGGTCATAAAGTGAGTCATTTAGATTTAACCTAATCAATTAAAAGTAAATAAGACGAGACTTTGCTGAACAAATTAATTTAAAATTTTAATTGAGGCTTTCAATAATATTTTAATTGATAATTGGTTTTTAGTAAGAAGAAATTAAAACGAAGAAGGATGATTGCTGTAATTAATTGACAATTAAAATAAAAGTGTTTTGTCAAAGGTGTGCACGTGTGCACGTCCACTTCTTGGTAGCTTTCGTGAACCTGTAAGCAGAAAAATAACAAGAAAAAAAAGAGAAGAAGAATGGGTCCCATCTCTCTTTTAAAATTCTCCCCCTTTCCCGCTGCTTCGACCAATTCCCACCATCAAATTATTCGTTTTTTTATGGTTTTAGTATACTTATTTTAATTGTATTTAAATTCTTTTACGAGCATAAATAAATAAAAGTGATTTTGGTGGTAAATGAATTGTTATTATTTTATGATTTATTAGGTTTAAAAATAAAAAAATATCATGAATTTGAGTTTTTAATATCAAATGATATAGAACTATCGATGAATAGATATTACTTTATACTTACTGAGATTATTAAAAAAACTTTTAAGAGTAGCGAATAAAACTTTTCTTATTGAAAAAACCCCGAGATATTTGAAGTTTTAAATTTAAGTTTTTTTTTCCAGATTTAATATAATTATAGTTTAGATATATTTTAATTATTAATTTGATAATCTATTATAATAATTGATTACTAAAATTTTTTATTAATGTATTTATAATTGTGATTCTAATCTCACTTCTCAAAAATATTGATTATTAATTTATATTAATTTTTTGTATCTATACTCTCTATGTCCTATTAAAAGTGTCCATTATTGATTTTTAAAACGTCAAAATTTTTAAAGTTTGACCATGATTATTTTAAATATTTTAAAAAAAATAATTTTTTATAAAATATATATTTAAAAACTAATTGATTTAAGGTTTTTAAAATATATATTTTCATATTTGTATCAACAATAATTTTTAAATAATAAATGAGTCAAATTTAAAAAAAAATTGTCCAAAAAGTCAATAGTTGATAGATTTAATTGGACAGGGGGAGTATTAATTTTTAGAATATCGAGGATTCTTACACTTAAAATTTCAATGCAAAGGAAATCTCTCAGCGCTCGATAACAGGTCTATGGCTCGTCGTATTTTCCTTCGTTCTTCTCGATTCTTGCTTAATTCTTGATCTTAGTTTGTCGATTTGTGTTTTCTTTTTCATTTGATGAACTGAAGGAAGCTTTTTGAAGTTGCTCAAGAGCATTCATTGGAGTTTTACTCGGCGGAGGTTCTGAATTAGGGAATTTCTAGCTGGAGGGAGGAGACAAAGGTTGTCTTTAGGGCCTTGAGGGGGTTGATGTGTGCCAAACGATGAAGGTTTGGGTGAGATTTGGATGAGGAAGTGAGAGTTTAATGGAAACTTATGATCTGGTTTGCGTTGCATGTTCCCAGGCACTCTATTATCGCTTGGATGACCTTACTCGTTTGTCTGCCAACTCAGGATAGGCTCAATAGTATGGGTATGAACGTTGAGAGAGTTTGTGTGTTGTACAATGTTACAGAGGAGTCTTGGTCCCATATTTTCTTTGGGTAATGATTCTCAGTTGAGATTTGGAAATTCATCTTGGGGGCTAGCGGCATTCATCGCTCGGTGATGGATTGGGAGGGTGAGGTCACCGAGCATGTGCTCACGCTAAGGGTAAGTTCGTTAGAGGCACTATTTTTAGATTGGATTGGAATGATTTTGTATACTTGTGTAGAGGGAAAAAATAATATATTCTTTAAGAATGTGTGTTTGATAGGAGATGTAATTGTGGGTTCCATCAGGGAGGTGATTCAAACTAAAATTTATGGTAGAACTAGACGCTAAGTGCCCAACTTTGTATAGATTGCGTATTAGGGGTTGAGTATCTTGTTTTGTTTGATACTTTTGTATTGTATTTTCTTTGGATATAATATACACATTTTATCCAAAAAATAATTATTTTATATTATATATTGTGTCTAAAAATGTTGATGGAACAAGATTACTCATCATCCATGAGTAGTTTACCTCATTCTAGTTTGCATGGAGAGTCGCAGTCATTGGTTGGTGTTTAGAGGAGTGAGAAAGAGGATTATCATAAGGAAGAAGGAAAAGGATCGATCGATTTTGGATAGTCCATTTTCCTTCTAAATCAATTTACCATTGCGTCCAAATCTTAACATATTCTTCCATGAAAATACATTCAGAAAAATATAATCCCCAACTTCAAACTCACTATCCTTCCTCCTTTGGTCAAAATAAGATTTCTATCTAGAAAATGCCTTCTCATGCGATCACAAATCAACCTGACAGTGTCTTCAGTCTCTCGGGCTAACTCTAGACCAAAAATCTTACTATTATGCAACTCAGTTCAATATATAGAAGTGTGACACTTCCTTCCATATAATGCCTTATATGGTGCCATGCAGATGCCAGCTTGATAGTTGTTATTGTAAGCATACTCGACCAAAGGCAAGAAGTCATCCCAACTACCACAAAAGTCAACCACGCATCCTCTCAATAGATCCTTAAGAACTTGTATCACTTTGTCATATTGACCATCAGTATATGGATGGAAAGCTGTATTGAAATTAAGATGGGTATCCAGAGCCTTATGTAGAGCCTTCTAGAATCTAGAAGTGAATCTCGGATCTCGATCAGAAATGATAGACAACGAAACACCATGGATTCGAATGATCTCATAGATATATAACCTAGCCAACTTATCTACAAAATAATTAACTTACAAAAAAGTAGAGTGAGCTGACTTAGTGAGTCAATCGACAATCACCCAGACATAATCTTTGTTATAAAGAGTAAGAGATAAACCATTAACAAAGTCCATCATAATGCACACCTACTTTCACTTAGGAATCTTAATGGGCTGCAACAGACTAGATGAATGTTAATGTTCTACCTTAACCTGCTGACAAGTCAGACACCTTGCCACATAGTCAGAAATATCTTTCTTTATACCAACTCAATAGTAACGTTCCTTGAGAGTTTTATACATCTTATCTCCACCAGGATACATAACATAAGGACTACTATGGGCTTCCTGAAGAATAGTCTACCTTAACTAATCATCATTAGGGGCACAATAACGACCATGAAAGCATAGAATATCATCTTGATCAAAAGTGCAATCTGAGCTCAATCCCTGCTCAACTTGCTTAATAATGGACGCCAATGAACTATTTAGGAGCTGTTTAGCCTTAATCTTC